GACCTATTTACAGTCTCAATATAACTAAAGTCCTTACACCTTTCCTTTCTACTGGATACAGACTTACTGAACCAAAGGGGGTCATAGACAATTAGCGTCAATAAGACACAAAAAGGCTACTTACCGCAATGGTTTTGCTGATCCCTCTTCATGACACCAAGCTGAAAGGGTTAATGCTGTTCTGGACTCAACTCCCCTCGATTCTCGATTCTCCGGTCACCATAATTAATTCTGATGGAGAATCATTGTTAGCAATAAAGACACGGACACCACAAATGTGCTTTAAAGGACCACTCTAGGCACCCAGACCACTTCAGCTTAATGAAGTGGTGTGGGTGCCAGGTCCTTCTAGGGTTAACCCATTTTTTTATAAACATAGCAGTTTCAGAGAAACTGCTATGTTTATGAATGGGTTAAGCCTTCCCCCTAATCCTCTAGTGGCTGTCTCATTGACAGCCACTAGAGGCGCTTGCGTGCTTCTCACTGTGATTTTCACAGTGAGAGCACGCAAGCGTCCATAGGAAAGGAGGAGGAACGGAGGAGGAGAGAAGGAGGAGAGCTCCCCGCCCAGCACTGGAAAAAGGTAAGTTTTTAACCCTTTCCCCTTTCCAGAGCCGGGCGGGAGGGGGTCCCTGAGGGTGGGGGCACCCTCAGGGCACAATAGTGCCAGGAAAACGAGTATGTTTTCCTGGCACTATAGTGGTCCTTTAATAAGATTCTCAATGAGTGTATTTTCAGGGCTAGCATTTATACACAGTTTGTCACGCAAGCAGCGAGATTTATAGTGTCCTTGTAGTTAATAGTACATAGTTGGTCTAGGATACTTGATAGAGTTCCTCTGTGGATGCGTCTGGTGTAGACCGTTCCGTATATGTAAATACAAGAGAGGTAGAGGCGACTAATGGTATAGTATGAAAGTTCAGGGTGTGATAGGTAACAAAAAGTAAAGAACTCACATTCAAGAGAGCTATGGCCAGCTCTGGTGTGGATTGCGTACAGCGGTATAATCCCCACTTATGGGATATGTAGGGAGGGGGTCTCCGTCAACACCGTCTGGTAGTCCAGAACTCAGAAAAGAAAGACAGAAAGCAACAATAGTGCTCTCAATTTTGATGTGGTTCAATGTGCAGATAAGAAGAGGTAAAAAACTCACATTTGAGGGAGCTATGGCCAGCTCTGGTGTGGATAGCGTACAGCGGTATAATCCCCGCTTATAGGATATGTAGCGGCGATACGTCCGTCAGCACCGTCTGGTGATCCAAGGCTCCAATATAGAAGAATAAAAAGCAGCAATAGTGCTCTCAATTGTGACAGGTTAAGAGAGTAGTAGAGAAAATAAAATAATACTCACAAAGATAGAGCAGAGGTACTTCTCTATGGATAGGCGCCGGTGGTATGATCCCCACCTAGGATTTCTTGGAGTACTGGAACTTTAAAATTGCCAGTGGAAGTAAAAGTAACCAGGAAAGGTTAAAATGCCAGGAATAGGTAAAAAAAAGTTGTTTAAAGTGCATAAAGAGTGCAATAAAAAGAGGATTGGTACAATAAAGTAGCCAAAAAACTTTTATTGATCTAAAATACACAGTAAAATACAGAATTAATAACCATAAACGCGTTTCGCCATAAGTGGCTTCTTCAGAATGGGATAAAAGTAGTAACCTGGCAGGGGTTGTTTAAATAGGGCTATGTTCATTTGAAAATTGCGCCAAAAGTGTAATTGGCCAATCAGAGACAATTTTTAAAATCACTTTTCAAAATTAGGATTCAAGAGTATGGGAGTGATGTTATAAAGGTGATGAGTCCATTTAAATTATTTAAATGTGAAAACGAGGGTGAGAAAGTTGTTTTTTAAAGAGAAAGAAAAAAAAAGTTGTTTGATTAAAGTTCATTAAAAAAAAAAAAGTTGTTTGATTAAAGTTCAAAAAAAAAAAGTTCTTTGATTAAAGTTCATTAAAAAACAAAACAAAATAAAACAAAAATAAAAAAATTAAGTAGATGGTTTAAAGGTACAGAGATACAGAGATATATGTAAATGGAGTATGCATGAAAAGGGGGTAATATAATCCCAAACATAATGATTTAAATAGAGGTTATATTATACCCCAGAGTAATAATATATTACAGATGTTAAATGAAAATAATAGATAAAATAAAAATAACATTAAATAAAATTAAATAAAAGATAACACAGAATACAAGATACATAAATGGAAAGGCATAGATGAAAAATTAAAACTTAAAAGATTATTATTATGAGGGTTGGTTAGGTCCAGACATAAAGAATAAAAGCATGTAGATAAGGGTTGTAAATAGGAATTTAAATAAAATTAAACAGGTCAAAATCAACATTTAAACCAGATGGGGTAAGAGTTTTGAGATTAAAAACCCATTCCACCTCAGCTTTACCTAATATGTTCTTAATGTTACCACCTCTCCATGGTATTATACATTTTTTTATGCCGATGCATTTAAGGTGTCTTGTGTCGTTGTTATGTGTACAAAAGTGTTTGGAGACTGAGTGATTCCGGTAGCCTTTTTTGATATTTCTACAGTGTTCACTCAGTCTCACTTTAAGACTTCTTGTGGTCATCCCTACATACTGGAGACCACAAGGGCACTCCAACAAGTAGATGACATTTTTGGTATCGCAACTGATAAAATCTTTAATTTTATAGGTTTTGTTGGTGATATTAGATTTAAAACTGGTGGTTTTGGAATCTACACCAGAGCTGACCATAGCTCTCTTGAATGTGAGTTCTTTACTTTTTGTTACCTATCACACCCTGAACTTTCATACTATACCATTAGTCGCCTCTACCTCTCTTGTATTTACATATACGGAACAGTCTACACCAGACGCATCCACAGAGGAACTCTATCAAGTATCCTAGACCACCTATTGGCACCCTAGCAATACTTTACTGGACTATCTACCCTTATTTGGCGCAGCCCTTCCATATCTTTTTGTATCTATCCACCGAAGGACCCGAGGGGTTTTCCTTCATTTGGGTTGCTGCCTACCTTGACTAATTTTGTGATTACTAGCGCTGAATTCTTTTTGTGTTTATTTAATAGTACATACTTGTCTGACATTAAAAAGATAAGCATTTGAATAAAGACGGGACAGGAACATCCTGAGGTCAAGCGAGGTCATACATCCTGTAGACGAAAGACCTTGGTACAAAATACATCTGCCAAAGTCAGCATAATTATTTCAAACATTATTTTAAAGCATATAGAGCAAAAAGAGTTTAACTATTTCATATCCTTACAGTCAGCACTAATGATTATAAACCTTATCTAAGCATAAAATACATATGAACAAGAAAAGTTAACTACTTCATATCCTTTCACAGACGTTAGCTCCCGAGTGGAGCAGAACACGCATGCGCGGCAAGAGCCGCGCGCACATTCAAATAGTCCATAGGAAAGCATTTCTTAATGCTTTCCTATGGACGTTCTGCACGCTGGATGCTAATTTCCATCCAGCGTCGCAGGAGCGCCTCTACCAGCTGTCAGGAAGACAGCCACTAGAGGTTGGACTAACCCTGCTATGTAAACATAGAAGTTTCTCTGAAACTGCTATGTTTACATGTGAAGGGTTAAAACCTGAGGGACATTGCACCCAGACCACTTAATTTAGCTGAAGTGGTCTGTGTGACTATAATGTCCCTTTAATTATAATATATTATACATATATAGTAAATAAAAGTGTGTGAGTGTGTGTATATACACACACAGACACACACACACACGTATTATATGTATATATATATATATATATATATATATATATATATATATATATATATATGTATATAGAAATAAAGTAAAGTAATGATAGCACTCCAAGGACTTTCGAAAATATTGTGAAAAAACTTAGCTTTTTATTCAGGCATCTGCCTGAGAAGATCAACGTTTCAGTTCTCTAAGGAACTTTCGTCAGGATACAGTGCAATACAAACAACAGTGTTTAAATAACCCACAAGTGCATTAACATAATCAATAAGCTGTATACAGGCTGTACTCACAATTAAACCCTGGTCTGGTTGCAGCTGCTGCTGCTGCTGCAAAATAAGAGAATGGCCAGACCTCTAGTAAAAAACAGTGGAGTGGAAGAGAATGGAGCTGAGCTCTAAATAAAATGGACGGCAGGGTAAAAGGTGCCGAACTAATGGGAACAGAGGCTAAGGTTATGGACCTCACTATGGATAAACTAGGCATAGTAAATATGGCAGAATACTAGTAAAAAGTCCTAATTACACTGCTCAGCTGGACCAACCTAGAGGTGTATACAGGAATAATGGCAATCATATAAGCAAAAATATGTTCACATGAATATACACACATAAAGCCTATTGTGAAAGTATACAATCAATCAGTGAAGGAATGGCAAAGGATAAATACATAAATGAATGAATGTACAGAAACAAAAAGTACAGAAAAAAACAATCACATAGAAAAGACATTGCTAGCTTGACTGGTAGATGCTAATAACATGGAACAGAATAAAGTTTGGCATTAAGTCCATGTAGGCTAAATGTAGCAACAACAAAAATGCAAAAACTGTAGACAAATATTTTACAAATGTAACAAAAGTAATGTTGAGGGGATACACTATATGATCAAGGCCCGAGTACAGTAAGTGACTAATACGCTCCAGTACATACTGCCAGATCAACAATGTATATATTATGTCATAAAGTAAATGATTAAGGCACAGTATATTGTAAAAATACTGGTCTCAATAAAAATCATAGGAATATCCCCAGAGAATATTTTTCGTTAAGTCCTTTGGGGTGTACAGAGTCAAGGGTTCTTATCCAGTAAAGTTCTTTCTGTAGTAGAAGTTTTTTGCGGTCACCGCCGCGTATTGGTAAGTGTATGTTGTCGATTGCCTAAAATTTCATGGATGGTAATGGATGATTGAATTCAAGAAAATGTTTTGCCACTGGAGATGTTGCTGAATGCATATTGGGGTGTTCTTTGGAAGTAACCCTCTCAGTTCTCAGTACATGTATTCTTAAATTGCTATGTGTCAAAAAAAATCACCAATTTAAAAAAAAAAAATAATAATTTGGCATAGATTGGTGGTAAAATGGTTGCATGAAAAGAGTCAAAATATCCCAAGTTTAATACCTTAGGTTGTCTTCTTTTAAAAAAAATAAAAAATGCACGTGAAGGGTAATTACCATATTTGACTAATTATATGACGTAAAGTCATGATTTTATTAAGGACACGGAGGCGAGTATTAGGCTTTATCTCTTTCTTTATTCCTCAGCAGCAAAGAAAGATTATTAATGTATTAATATAAAAAACAAAACACATACCCCTTCAAGGGTTAACCATTTAACATTCCATTATTTAACCCCTTAAGGACGGAGCCAAATGTACACGTTGTGAACGTAACAAAATGTAAACAAAACCTGGCATTTGCGCTACATGTCTGTCCAACCGTAATACACCTCTTTCATATTAAATACACCCACCCTTATTATATATCATTTTATTCAGGGGAAACAGGGCTTTCATTTAATATCAAATATTTAGCTATGAAACATAATTTAATATGAAAAAATGGGAGAAAATAAGATTTTTTTTTTAGTTCTACATGACATTTTAATGGTCAATATCATAATAATGTTTGCTTTTACTGCAATAAAATACACATATTTGTATTCAGCAAAGTCTCACGTGTAAAACAGTACCCCCTATGTACAGGTTTTATGGCGTTTTGGGAAGTTACAGGGTCAAATATAGCACGTTACATTTGAAATTGAAATTCGCCAGATTGGTTACGTTGCCTTTGGGACTTTATAGTAGCCCAGGAAAGAAATTTACACCCATAATAGCATATCATTTGCAATAGTAGACAACCCAAGGTATTGCAAATGGGGTATGTCCAGTCCTTTTTAGTAGCCATTTGGTCACAAACACTGGCCAAAGTTAGTGTTAGTATTTGTTTGTGTGTGAAAAATGCAAAAAATGCCAATTTTTGCCAGTGTTTGTGACTAAGTGGCTACTAAAAAAGACTGGACATACCCTGTTTGCAACACCTGGGGTTGTCTACTATTGCAAATGGTATGCCATCATGGGGGTAATTTTCATTCTTGGGCTACCATAGGGTCTCAAAGGCAACATAACCAATCTGGCGAATTTTAATGTGGAAAAAAGAAACACAAGCCTTATATTTGACACTGTAACTTTTGAAAACACCATAAAACCTGTACATGAGGGGTACTGTTGTACTTGGGAGACTTCGCTGAACACAAATATTTGTGTTTCAAAACAGTAAAAAGTATCGCAGCAATAATATCGTCCATGTAAGTGCTGTTTGTGCGTGAAAAATGCAAAAAACGCCACTTTTACTGGCGATATCATCGTTGTAATACATTTTACTGTTTTGAAACACTAATATTTGTATTCAGCGAAGTCTCCCGAGTAGAACAGTACCCCACATGTACAGGTTTTATGGTGTCTTGGAAAGTTATAGGGTTAAATATAGTGCTAGCAAATTAAATTCCCTTTACTCTCGGCATGGGTTGTCAGGCAGGTTCCGCTAATTGTAATTAATTAAGATACCTAATTATATAAAAATATTACATAAATATATATGTAGAATTAATATATGTATACATATACGTATGTGAATATATATGTATATATATATATATATATATATAATTTTTTTTAATATTTTTATTTATATATAGGTATATATATATATAGTGATATATACGTATATATTTATGTATATAGATATATATTATTTTGTTCTACGTGTATTTTGATATAAATATATATATATTAATATCACAATACAGTTAGAACGAAATAACACACATCTATATATTTTTAATTTTTTTTTTTTAATTATTTTTTAAATTACATTTTTTTACGTATTTACATATTTAATTTTTGTATATTATATATAAATATATATATAACAATAATTATATATATATATTTAATCAGTATCAGTCTACGTGTAATTTGATATTAATATATATATATAATTATATATATATTAATAGTAAAATACACCTAGACAGTGTATGTGTGTGTATGTATATGTGTATATATATACTTAGATCATATATATATCATATATATATATATGATCTAAGTATATGTTTTAAGGCCGTTTGGCCTGTATTTGTGGGAGGGGCTTAAATTAATTCACTCCCCTATATAAGGGACACCCCTTACCTGACTCATGTCGCTTGAGGTCAGCATCAGAATGATTTCCACTTACGGGTCATCCAGACGCCATTTTACCTGATTACTCCATGAGGTTTTCTAAGCTGATCTGTGTCAGAAATTCAGCCACAGGTTTTTCCGGCCTACCACCTTCTTTCTTCAATCTATCGCTGTGGATGGAGTCCAAATGACTCACAAACCGTAAGTCGACCTACCCGTTACGCCAGGCATCAGTCCCACGGCACCATGCACGTGCCAGGTCCTCACTTTACGGCTGCATTTTGTCTAAATCTGTCCTAAAACCATTGCATGTTCATGCATATCATTCGTTTAAATTCACTTGTTTATATCTGTCACTGGCTCATTTCGAGCATTAGCATACTCCCAAACGGGAACACATTTTGTTTCAATTGCCTAAACATACTAGGCAATTCTGTTTCCCTGACATACCAGGCTCACGGTTCGTGCAATTTTCTACCAAACGGGAACTAGTTCATGCATTTACTATTGTACTACACACACGTTTTGTGCGTTTACAACCCACGAACTGAACTTTGGTTTGTTACAATGACTGTTATTAAGCTAATATGTTCACTTATTGTATATTGTCAAACGGGCACTGTTTGTTTCCCTGTCATACAACTATAATGCTGGGGCATAGCTCACGAACAATGTTTCACATAAACCACACTGACCCCTACAGGTCACTCTCAAAATCTCACGTTAACCTTGCATTTGGATTAACCCCTTAAGGACCAAACTCTGGAATAAAAGGGAATCATGACATGTCACACATGTCATGTATCCTTCAGGGGTTAAAGGGTATTTTACCATACAATCAGCATTTCTGACCCCTACTGGTCAACAGCAAAACTGTCTTCACATGTCATATACAATTACCAGCCAATACAAATTACACATAAGATTGTTTTAAACATAACCATAAATCATAAATTAAACTCCAACACGGGCTCAACTTCAGGTTTAATTCATAATAATTTACATTTCACATCAAGACTAACAGTGGTTCTATCAACACTGCCACCTACAGGTCTGTCAAGTACATTGACAATTTTCATGGGGTTTTTCATGGGGTTTTACAAACACCAAAACACTGACCCCTATAGGTCAACAGACAAGCAACATTTCACATACCAATCCGTATCAACTACACTGCCACCTATAGGGCACTCGGCAGATTTCCAGTGCACTTGCATTTTGCAACACCATGTTCACTGACCATTCAATAAGGCATACAACAATTCACATAGTAAGCAGTATATCAACATCTGTTATAAATACACATATTATTAAACAGTAGCACACGCATCTGTATATACGTAACTGGTAATATGGTTCACATACATACGGCACTTAATGGGTTAAGATTGATACATATTTAACCAGTATGGATATGATGTTTAATATTTACAGATCACAGCACTTTACTTTCACATATACTGTATGTTTTAAGATAAGCTTAGTCTATGCCATATTTCCTTATGCCATACGATTTTATCCATTCAGGTTACAGTTACTACTAAAAAACCTATACGGATTGTCAGGTTCAATACCATACTACCAGGTACGTACACCTGCTCATGTAGTTATCCATCTCTTACCTTCCCTGGAATAGTAATAGTGTACTGGCAATTAGGGTTCTAGGGCCCAATAGGTATTACCCCCTTTTTTCTCTGCATTATGCTTCGGTTAGTGGTCCCGCGAGGCCAACACCCCGCCTCTCACTCGGAGGCATACACCCCTCGGGCCAGTCGTGAGCTCCCCTTCCTATTTTTCTGGTTATTCACTGAGAGGCCAACATCCTGCCACAACGTTTGGTGGCCACACAAAATCCCCTCGCGCCAAGCATAGATAGAGCCTCTCAAGCCACTTGGCAACTAGCAGGGCCTCACCAGTCACCAAAAAACGCCAAGCCTAATCGTTTCGCCTTACGGCTTAGCTAGCAAGCCAGTACAAGACCCCTGGGTACAAATATATAATTGCAATCTTTATTGTTATTTAAGTATTTCTCAAAAAGATGGTAAAGAATCACCTCTTCCTAGCACCCCGGCTAGAAGTGATACACCTTCATCTCTTACCTTCCCTGGAATAGTAGTTATGTACTAGCAATTAGGGTTCTATGGCCCAATAGGTATTACCCCCTGTTTTACGCTTCGGTTAGTGGTCCCGCGAGGCCACACCCCGCCTCACACTCGGAGGCATACACCCCTCGGGCCACTTGTGAGCTAGCCGCCTCGCATTGTATCATAGAGAGGGCCTCACCTGTCACTCCCCTTCCTATTTTCTGGTTACTGTCCCCGAAAGGCCAACATCCTGCCACAACGTTTGGTGGCCACACAAAGTCCCCTTGCGCCAAGCATAGATAGAGCCTCTCAAGCCACTTTGCAACTAGCAGGGCCTCACCAGTCACCAAAAAAAAACCACCAAGCCTAATCGTTTCGCCTTTACGGCTTAGCTAGCAAGCCAGTACAAGACCCCTGGGAACAAATAATAATTGCAATCTTTATTGTTATTTAAGTATTTCTCAAAAAGATGGTGAAGAATCACCTCTTCCTGGCACCCCGGCTAGAACTGATACACCTTCAAGTAGAGGAGATGTGGCTCCAACCTAAGGAGGCGACAAATCCCCTACCCTGCCACAGCAAGGAAAGCAGAGTTATTCAAACTCCTCCATACATCAACGGACAACACGGAGGCAGGGGAAGGCCCAGCAACACCAACTCAGGTGACACCCAGGCCATGTTAGCCACAGTCATAAACTCATGAGCCAAACAAAAAATTTTATGACAGACTGGCAATCTCGAGTCGGTCACAGCCCTCACAAGGCTGGGCCTCACGTTACTGTACAACCAGCACCAACCGAAACTCGGTTACCTGGTACAATCAATTCTTGGTACAAGACGTTAACCCTGCACATATGATCCCGGCACATTGGGGAAACAAGGCATAAATATGTATGATGATGTATCTATGATGGTCAGACCCAGGGATTCTAGGTAAATCGGGAACTGACCA